TAAGTTGCAGGTCCTTCTACATTCACATCACTTAAAATAATACACAACTATATTTGTGGTCCAAAATATTATTTAACTTCACTCAGGATAAAAGATTTCCAGATACACCAACAGAATATAAAAGACTCAGGCAGAGACAACAATTTTCCATCATGCCCTTCATTCTGAAAAAGACGATATTTTTTTGTTATGCAGTAAGGGTTGAGTGGCAGTCTCTGTGCCTGTTCAAGTACTGTTCATTCTAATCAGACTGCCAGCAAGGAATCATTAGGTATTTGGTGTTTATGATGTAAAATATCTACTAGGAATTGGATTTTGATCATAACTTCATTTTACATCTGTTTCACACTAACCAATAGAATACAGTGTTAATCACTCTTAACCTTTACTGGATTTGAACTAGTATTTTGATTGCTAATCCCTGCTGAGGGACTCTGAAGTACACCACCGAGCCCCTGAGGCATGCAGCTTGACCCCTTCTCTTCAAGTTGGTTTTAACCAACAGCATCATCAAGAATATGCTTAGACTTGCCAAGGCTAATTACAGATTTGGCCATAGTTTTCAGCTGAAGTATAGACAAAACTGTCTAACTAGAAATGTTAAAAAAAGTATGCTGGGCTCTAGGTGATTCTACATGAATAAAAAAGTAGCTCCAGCAAGAAGATTTTGCAGCCAATAAGATTTATATTTTGCAGACTCATGCAACTGCACTATCAGTTTGCTCCAAATAAATGCCCAGCTCCTGGCGATTAGTATTCTTAAGGGGCTGGGTGGAAATCTGTTAGTTTGGGCTTCTTTCAAGATCTTCCCCCAGATGGTAATACAATTCCAAACCAGCTGAGATTCACTTTGTGTTGAATTTCATTGTAAGAAAGGATCATACAGCAAAGAAATGAACAAAGGTTTTTCCTTCCTCAAATTTCAAACTACAACAAGAGAATTTCTTAGAGTTTTTTTGTTTTGTTTTTTTTTTTGTTGTTGTTGTTGTGGTTTTTTTTTTCTGAATATGATTATCTTATTCTAAATTCCTTATCTTCAGATCTAATCTTTTTCCTTGGTTATTTTAAATTTACATTCAATTATGTTTCAGATAAATGATTACTGAGGGAAATATGGGGACAATACAGATCCCCTCTGGATGAGGGAATCGAGTGCACCCTCAGTAAGTTCGCAGATGACACCAAGTTAGGTGCGTGTGTCGATCTGCTTGAGGGTAGGAAGGCTCTGCAGGAGGATCTGGATAGGCTGGACTGATGGGCTGAGGCCAACTGTATGAAGTTCAACAAGGCCAAGTGCCAGGTCCTGCACCTGGAGCGCAATAACCCCAAGCAGAGCTACAGGCTGGGAGATGAGTGGTTGGAAAGCTGCCAGGCAGAGAAAGTCATAACGATTTTCCCCCTGTGCTTGGCTCTGGTGAGGCTGCACCTCGAGTACTATGTTCAGTTTTGGACCCTTGCTACAAGAAGGACATCGAGGTGCTCGAGTGAGTCCAGAGAAGGGCAGCGAAGCTGGTGAGGGGTCTGGAGAACAAGTCCTGTGAGGAGCAGCTGAGGGAGCGGGGTTTGTTCAGCCTGGAGAAAAGGAGGCTCAGAGGCGACCTTATTGCTCTTTATAAGTACATTAAAGGAGGCTGTAGAGAGGTGGGGGTTGGTCTATTCTCCCATATGCCTGGTGACGGGATGAGGGGGAACAGGCTAAAGTTGCACCAGGGGTGTTTTAGGTTGGATATTAGGAAGAATTTCTTTACTGAGTGAGTTGTGAGGCATTGGAATGGGCTGTCCAGGGAAGTGGTGGAGTCACCATCCCTGGAGGTCTTTAAAAGACATTTAGATGTTGAACTTAGTGATATGGTTTAGTGGAGGACTTGCTAGTGTTAGGTCAGAGGTTGGACTCGATGATCTTGAGGTCTCTTCCAACCTAGACAATTCTGTGATTCTGTAGTATGGCCTACCTTGCACTCAGCACCCAAACAACAGGTATTTTAGTAGTAGAGCATGTAGGTCTTCTTTCAAAGCTTAAAACTGGAAGAACGTGGTCCACACTGTATTTGTTGTACAGTACTGACAGAGCCCTCATTTCCTACACTGCGATCCACTAAATATATACATATATATGTATATGTGTATATATATATTTTTTTTCCAAGCTAACTACGCATCACAATATTTGTATGTCTTAACTGGAGTGAATCATTTTCTGTATGAACAGAGTTCAGGCCAGTGCTTTGCAAATCCATTTGGAGTTGGGTAAGGACTTCAGCAGATACTAGGTAGTTCACACAGAGGGACACATTAAAAAATACTTCCTAGTTTGACGGGCTACCAACCACTCAGGTTGTACTTCAAGAGACAAAAAGAGAACACTTGTTTTCCAATGTGCAAATAAAAGCATTTTATATTATGAGCTGACTACATTTCAGTGGAGTTATTCTGGAACTACACCAACATCACCAAAGTTCTAATCAGCTCCATATAGTTACTGAATAGTCCAGTGAATATCAGCTTACTGAAATGGGTAATGAATTTTTGTCAAGACTGATAATATTTTCCCTTTTCTGATATCTTGGTAATACTGTGGCAGGTCTACATATATAACAAAAAATGTTTTTAAATTAATATTTTGGGCAATTTAAGTCAGGAAAAGAAAAAAAAAAAAAAAAAAAAAAAAAAAAAAAAACCTTTCTCTTAATTCCTGCCCTAAGGTCTCAGCAAGAAACATAAGTGAGTTCCTAAAATGGAAAGCTGACTGGGAAAATGTGTTTTGTGGTGTATTGGAAATATTTCCTCAACTAGGATTTTTCAAACTTTCACACTTTCTTACGAATTACACACCCATCTCTCTCAGACCCTTCAAAGGACAAACAAAACATAGCAAGAGCCATGAAAAAGACTCAAGAATTTTTAACCATTCCCAGATCTCCTGTTGCCACAGCTCATCCAGGAAGGCAGCTTGCAAGTTTCCACAAAAAAATCCCCCACAAAAGGGAACTAAGATATTGGATAGACTCAGTCAACAGGAACTTGTGACCAGCAAGCCAGGCCACCTGTTCTAAGGAGGATCAAGCCATGGAGAGGAGTTGAATTCAATTTCCTTAGCAATTCTCTTTACATGGCTTCTCAGCATTTATCAAATCTCTGCCACCTGGAGGAACTCTCATTGTATCTAACAGAGAGGGAACAAAGGAGCAGAATGTGCATTCTCCCCACCCCCATACAAGAACAACACTGGAAACCCCTAAGTAACAACTACAGACCTTGCAATGGAAATGCAGGTTTCCAGCAAATACGATGAGGACACTTCTGGCAGATTTAAAAAAGTATTACAATTCCTTATTAATTTTCTGTGAAAATCAATGAAAACTTCAGGGGACTGAAAAAGTGAAACATCTATAGTTATTCCAGGGGAAAATTTCTATCCATTACTCTCATATTATTTACCACAATGAGGCTCAGGTGTTTTCAGGAAAATAAAACCATTCACCAGAAAACCCTCTTCTTCTTACTTATCAGTATATTTAAAAGACAAAGATCTCAGCAATGTATCAACAGGAAATTATACCACATACAAACACATATGAATACTTTTTTTCCTTTACTTTGCAACTAGAAAACAACAAATATTTCTTTCAGTATTTGGGGGAAATATTTAAGTAATTAATTGTTACTATTGACCTTTTATAAAATGTGACATGAAAAATATATTGTGAGATGAAGTTTATAGTACTGTGGGAACAAAACATACAAATAATATCACGCTCAGATACAGCACTTTTCCTTGAAGATGTCAAAGTATTTTACAGTAGAATCAAGTCTGTCTACTACATAAGAATTATTATAATCATTAAAAATTATAAATGTTAAAATGAAAGTACTTAAAGTTACACAACTTGCTCAAGGGAATCCAAAGCTACTCTAAATGTCACTTTGACTGCAAAATGGTATCAACAAAAATCAACCTAAGAATAAGGAAGGCCAATTAAGTTGAATATTTGGTGAGGATATTAATGCAAATGTGATCTTAGCTAAAAAGCACGGACAGTAGAATCTCTGTAGCTGGAATCAATTTTAAGCTAATAAATATCTGCTTTGATCAGAGATTCAGGAAATAATTGAAAGGTTAAAAATAGAAAGTACAAATAACTAATAGCATATTTTGAAAGGAAATGTGAACAATGACATTTAAATGATGCAAAGTGTTTTTTTGTGGGTTTTGTGTGTGTTTTTTATTGTTGTTGTTGTTTTGTTTTGTTTTGTTTTGTTTTGTTTTCCAATAATCTACCTGAATTCAGTATAAAGAAAAATGAGACAAGACAGACAAGAGGACAAAGCTGCTCAGTGCTGGTCCGTCATTGGAAAAGTCATAGAGAGAAAGGAAGGTGTATAGTTGGTTTGGGCCCATGTGACACCTTCTGGAGAAGGAAGCTTTTTATTCAGAAAAGAAACAGATGTTTTGGCAGATAGCATAGAAAGAATCCTGTCAGAGACTATAAACCAGTCCTGAAGGGAAGAAAAGAGTGTGGAAAAAATGTGAAGTATAAAACAAAAGAACCAAAATGACATGGATAAAATAGAAATGCATAAAAAAAGACAAGGGCTTTGTTATAACTGAAAAGAGAAAGTAAATATGCTAAGGTCCTTGTAACTTTTGTAGAAGTTTTAAGGAAAAAGGAAGGAAGGAAGGAAGGAAGGAAGGAAGGAAGGAAGGAAGGAAGGAAGGAAGGAAGGAAGGAAGGAAGGAAGGAGGGAGGGAGGGAGGGAGGGAGGAGGAAGGAGGAAGGAAGGAAGGAAGGAAGGAAGGAAGGAAGGAAGGAAGGAAGGAAGGAAGGAAGGAAGGAAGGAAGGAAGGAAGGAAGGAAGGAAGGAAGGAAGGAAAACCAATTTCTCATCCACTGACATAGCTCACTGCAGCATGAGGCTGGGAGATTAATTTTATAACCGCAGACAGAAATCAAATAAAAGGAAGAGTCAATGCCCTTTTTAAACATCAGTAGAAAAAGATCACAAGCACACAGCCAATATTAAAATGCAGCCAAGGTTTATTGCCAACATTTAAGTAGGTTTGTCCTGGAAGAACAGAAAATAACCAATCGTGTAAATGGAGACAGGCATACAACCATCACCAAAAGCTTTCCTCTTTCATTTGTTTGTGGTAAAGAATTTTCTTCTGAGCCAAACAAATGTGCTAAAGAAGACTTTAAACTGAAACTTACCAAGACACTTTCTGTGCATACCCTCAGCCTTGACAAAGAGCTTTATCAAGAAACTCCCAGTCTGTTCCATTCTGAAATCTACTGCTGATGGATAATTACCTTTAACCGTCTTTAAAAATATCTTCTTTTACTCCTAAGAATAGCCTTTTCTGCAAGATTTGAAGGAAGCTACTATCAGAGTAGCAAAAACAGTTAGTCCCATCATTTCAGAGACAGGTATACCAGCTGGAGATATTATGGCATGTCTTGGTGTAAATATTTAAATTGCAATGTAGTGTGGCCTTCATGCAAGGTGCACTCCGAGCTGTGTATCTCCTGTGCTCACACTGGTAATTAAACAAGTGGTTGAAAAGGATTCAGACCACTTGTATGTCAGCTTGTCCAGGGTAAGAATTTTATACGCTTGTCCTTAGCACATAATAAATTCAACATATGTCAAAGACATTTATGCATAAAGAACAACAAAGAATTATCACAGGGAAAAAGCAAGAGCATGCGTTGTTATTGCAGAATATTCAAGATTACTCATTAGCTTCCACTGCAATAAGTATCCTACGTCCTAAAATAATGCTAGTCAGTCAGCAGGGATGCAGCTTAAGGTACAGTTCCTGAAGATGTCTTTAAGTCAGAGTCTAGACTTAGTGTTTAAATGTTGTCCTGAATATCTGTTTCTATGAGGAGAGACTGCAAAATTTAATAATGCCCAACACTTCTCATATGCTGTACAGGAGACAGGATTAAAAAGGTAATATTTCAATGAAAGTTTTACAAATTTAATCTTTTTTGATGGTAACCCCTGCATTAAGTCATTAAGATGTGTCATTTCTTGAACAGCAGGAAGTAGAATATGTATATAAAAACAGGAAACCATGAGAAAAACTGTACTGAAAGGAATGTACAAGGAAAAGCAGCAAGGAAATGAATATAAAGTCCCAGTGGAGATGACAGAAAGAAGGTTCATCTGGACAGAAAACAGACCATACAATTTTTTGCATTCCGTATGTGTTTCCAGCAGTGGCTCCTATTTGAAAATTTCTTAGTTTCAAGTCAAACCCAGATTTTCCTCTCTGATGGGCATGAAAGCTCAAATTCACATCTGCAAATTAACTGTGTTCTCTGTGCTTCATACATCAACTGTTATGTGCAACATTATTTCTGGAATTGTATCTTAGCTTACAATTTGACTATTATGGTACATCAGGGAGAAAAAAGTGCACTTTGGTCTGCCACAGCTATATTTTTATTGGCTTCACAGTACTGAATGAGGAAATCTCTTTTTGTTAGCAAACTAAGCAGGTCTGACTTGAAAGATTTAAAGGGTACAGATATGCATCAGTGATCAGGTGATGTTTGCAATGAATATGGGATAGCAAAAAAGTATCTACTTCTAGGAAGGTACTGCAATTATTTAATGGCAGCAGGAGAAATTTTTATGCCAGAAATATTAAAGGGTAGCAGACTTTTACTTGCTTTTTGTCTGGAAAGGCTTTTTGCACTCTCACCATCACCCCACCCCAGCATTTCCAGACTGTTATTCATCACTGAGAAATGGTACAAAGTAGTCTTGTCAATGGTTTCCACTGAGTCTGTTGCTTTCAGGTATTCTGACATGATCAGTCCTCCCTAGGAAAGTCTATGGCATACCAGTTTATTTCTTCCAATTCCAGTACTATGAAATAGACAATAAAGCAGGATCTTGCTCTCTCTCACACGTTCTCTGAGGCATTTAGCAGGGTCTTTCCTCTTCCTCCCCCAGACTTCTCAAAATTTTCTTTGACACTGAAAACTGGGTTTGTGTCTTCTGAGAAACAAATCCTTCCCTGGTCTGATTAAAAATCTGATGAAAAGTAAATCTCCCTTGTTCTGTAAAGAGGAAACAATTGAAGTCAGTTCTTACTGATGGAAAAGCCACAAGTCAAAAATGCCAGAAGACAGATGGACTGATCAAAAAGACAATGAAGCCTTTCCATTAACTTTGATAGACTTTGGGCTTAGGTCATTAATCAGCTCCGTTAAGAATTTGTAGGGTCTTGTAGGGAGGTTCTGTACTGGAAAAACGGAGGCAGAAAATACAACCTTGACATTTCTGTTAAAAGAGAACTCAGGAGATATACTCACAAGCATATGATACTTGCTAGACTATAATAATAAGTTTTATATTTAAATAAAGTTTTTAAATAAGTTTTATATTTAAATAAAGCAGATCAATGATAAATTAAGTATGGAACAAATGCCATTTGTTTGGTCAACAAGTTGTTTTTTTTTTGACTGGTTGTGGTCCTGAGCAATGATAAACACATTTTTAGAAATAAATGTTACAATAAACATGTATGTATGTTTTCCTTTGCAGAATTATTAGAATTAGAATTATTAGAATTATTGTTTATACTTACCTTCTCAATGCACCAAAACAGTGGAGATAGTTTCATCTCAGATTTAGTGATTTTTTAATAGTATACTAAAATAATTTTTATTCCATCATTATATTTATGTATGCTTGTTTCTTTCTTTGCTTGTTCTTATTACACATAATGTAGAAAAAGTTTCTACCATTCCTTCATCTTGATCTTCCTCTTGATTAATGTTGATTTGTTTGTGACTATGGTGAATTAACTGTTTTTACATGTTATTTTACTTCTTTCCCCTACAATTCTCTTACATTATTCTAGCTGGTATGTACACGTCAGTTCACTGAACTATGTTCCTGAGTTATCCCAGGCAAGCATGAATTAGTTTGCTTACTTCCATTATAACTCCAGATTCTTCACAGCTGCAAATCATTACCAATTCTCATCATTTTACTCACCTATGCTTCTCCTTCTTTGTATTGCTCTTGTAAATGAAAATTACCATTATGCTGATCCTTGCAAAATGGCTGAAATCATTTGCTTTCATTTATGTTTGCCATTATCTGCTAACTCCAAAGCTCTTTCATCTCCTGAAGTTAATCATGTTCCCTTATCCAAATAAGCTGAACATTTCAGCGGCTGCTGCAGTTGACACTGGTATATTTATTCCAAAGTGGCACCAATCATATCATGGTTCTGATGGGTGCAGAACCTTTGTAGCACCACTGAACCCTGAGAACATATTTCAAGGAATCACAGACTGAAAAGGAGGCCACTGCGATTTTTATATGCACAAAGATATTTTCTGGCCAGAAAACCAAAGATTTTAACAATCTCGTCTCTGTTTTAGATCATTCTGTAACCAACACTTCTTAGAATCAATTGCATTTATGTCAAAGAAGCATAGAATCATAGGATGGTTTGGATTGTAAGGGAGCTTAAAGATCATCTAATTCTAGCCTCCCTGCCATGTCTCTTGTCTCCCTCCCTTAGTTAACTTTTAATTTAGCTGAGGTAACAAGACAACTGTTTGAAATAATTAAATATCTTTCTTTTATGATTTAGTTATGACTGTAATCAAATAATACCTTTCTGAAAGTGAATGTTCATCTCTCACTATCCTCAAGAGCAGAACTGATGTTTAAATATCAATAATTTTCTGTTGCAGTTTCTAGTCACCACTTTTAAGTCTGCCAACATCCTCCCTCTGTTAAAAGATGGGTTTGACTATACCTGCTCAGGTTCTTTTGTTTTGGATATCCAGGATAGACTCATTCTGGTCCTAGAGCTTTGTTAATCTTTAGACATTTTAATATCCTGATCATCTGTTCAGGTATGGCCTTGATTTCCTTCAGTATTTCTTCTTCTTCTCCTACAAAATTTACATCAATATTCAACATCTGTCACCTTCTTTTGAATGTTAAGGCAAATCATTAATTTAATGTCTGGAAGTTCTGTCTGTTATTTATACTAAGTTTTTATTTCTACTACCTTTATAGACTTCATTCAAAGTACTTTAAAATGACTTCACAAAAGAACTCAGTACGTCATATCTAATGTTGACTCTTTCTATAGGCTTAGACTTCACACAGAAGTCACATATATGACACTTTCTTCAGGAAAAGCTACAAAAAGAAACCTATAGTATGTAATATATTTTTTCTCAAATATTCCATTAGCTACCTGGTCTCAACTACAGCAAGTTGGCCTCCATCACCTGTATTTCCCTGACTTTCAGGAAACCTATCTTTTTTTGCAAGCATTTAGGTAGTATAACTGGTCTTGCAACAGAACTACTAATAGCAAGGACTATGTAAAATTCAAATTAATCAGCTAAAGCTTTGGGGGGAAAAAATAAATAAATAAATAAATAAATAAATAAATAAAATAAAAAATAAATAAAATAAAATAAAATAAAATAAAATAAAATAAAATAAAATAAAATAAAATAAAATAAAATAAAAAATCCCAGGATAGCATAAGTATCTGGCCAATAAAAATGGACAGAAATTAGTTTCTGTCACTACTACCATTGCTCACACTATATTTTTGTATGGAAGTGCATGAATTTGTATAAACATGTATGATTTAACTCCTTAAACTTCCTTCATTGCCTTAATTCAGACAAATGATGTAGTTTTCCACAGGAAAAAAGAAAGGAGGAGTAGACTGCATCCCTTACACAACTTTCTCTCAACACCAGATAGTGTCTGTATTTTACCTGTATAAAAGTATTTCACATACTTCTAGAAACTGATATCACATAGATATCACATGACTTTTATCCTTTATAAAAGTCAGTGTTGTAAGTAATGTTAAATAATTTCTCCGACAGTTCAGTGTAAATTTCATAGATGTTTCCACGTAACATCTTTAAAGAATGCCCATTACTATTCACCCCTATAACCAAAGGTCTTATCCAGTTTTATCCACAATCCACCTCAAATCTCCACTATTTTAACATTCATTCCTCTGCTGAACTCTGATCCCCTCACACAGAATCAAATGCAACAAAAGAATCAGCTTCTTTGACCAATCTCTGCTTATAATTTTCTAAATAATCAGATATGTATGAACTGTTTGTCTTAATCTTCAAATTCCTTCTCATTTTTGTCCTACTTATCATCTCCAGTGTATTCTGTCTCCAGTTAGACCATAATGTTGGCTTCCTTTACCCATGGAATTGACAGATATTTTTAAACAAGCTCCTCTGTGATTTTTTTCCAAGCATCTGCCACACAACCTCATTATCTTCCTTCAAATCCCTCATTAAAACCCTCTTGCTGTGATGCAAAAACATAAGAGAATGTTTAAGCTAATAATGAATTGAAACACTTTCTCTCATACTGACCAATGTTGCTTCATTGTCCTTGTGCTCCTTTGGCTGTCTGGATCCATGTGTTTTTTCTTATATTTGAATCACAGCCTCCCCATGAGGTCCTAGTTTATGACTTTGGTACTGATAATATAAATAATAATCAGAAGAAAAGGTTTTTCCTTCTCATTATATATTGTTAGCTCCTGAAAACACATTCACACTTCCTTTTTGTGTTAGTTTCTAGCAAGTAATTACATAAAGTAATATAATATAATCTCAAAGTCCTCTCTCCCTTTTTGCAAGGGAACACACAAGTGAAGGACCCAGAAAAAAAAATAATCTTTGAAAAGGAGAACTGTGGGTTAGAGGAAAAAGCTCATGTTTCAACATCTTTTTTTTTTTTCTTTTTTTCCATAGACAACAGAGAATTTCAACCCTATTTTCTCTCCACCCTGTTTCTGCCACTTAGAACAGAACAGATAGGATTCTCTTCACGGAAAGGATTATATCTTTTCTTTGAATTAGCAGTTTCCTTGCTTCCTTCCCTGAACACTACATTCCAAGTCCTGATGCTCATGAAGTTACATACTCTTGCTCTATCTCTTCTGTTCGAAAGGCAAATGTTTTCCTTTGGGAAGGAAAAGACCCATTTATTTTTCACTGATGATGGAGAACAGAATAAAAGGCAAATTATTTATTTCATCACACATTTCACAGCTCACCAGCCCACCATTTCACAGCTCATCATTATTTCAATGCTCAGGTATTTAAGTTTTTTTTAATCTTCTGAAATAAACACACCCAAAGCTGATCTGCACCTGCATTAAAAGGAACCATTCTTCTGAACAGGCCTCAGAGTGATGGCAAGGGCTGACATTCCCAGTTTAGTTTTTAAGGCCTCTACCAATATGAATTGCTCTTAACCACTACATTTTCCCTTTTACACTTCGTCTCTTTCTTTCCTTTTTACCAGACTTCATCTAACACTCATGCATTGCTCAAGGAATAACCCATGTTCACAAGCAGGATAGTTATTTTTCTGGTCTGACACATTATTATTGTTGGCAGTATACAGAGTTGTATACTTTAAACAGACATAAAACTCATTAATGTTGTTCAGCTGATAATTGTCTATCACCTGCAGAAAAACTGTAGTGTTCTTCTAACAAGAGATACATAGCGTTCAAAGACAAAGCATTTTTCTACCTATGAGAAAAATGTAAACATTTATACGCCTATAAAATATCCACAGACATCAATAAATGATAGAGCAATTACTCATTTTTGCATGTAAATAATCAGTTTTGATGCCTGTTTTTACATATAGACAAAGACACAAGAGGTCAGATTTCATTTGCTTAGGTGAGACAGGAGTTCTCAAATCCATAGGATGTTTTTTCATCCATTGTATTTTGTAAACAAAAATCACTAGCAATAAAAGCTGACAATTTATATTAGTTATGTTCATGAAGGATTAAACTCAGAGTTCTGTCCTTTTAGTCAATCTGAGGCATCAGAAAATGGTTTAATTATGTGAATTTAAGCAGTCATAGAGATTTAGTAGCACATTAATTCCATAGCACTTCCACGGGTTGCAAACCTGAAACTTCAGCTCAAGTGCTAAGCAGAACCAGAGCTATGCAACTCTGATGAATGTATGTTACAAAAGAATGGATTTTCACTCCAAACAATGTACA